CTATGAGAATTAATGGCAAAACTTGCCTTCAAACAGTACTTCATACTTTGTGTGTCTGTGTGGGTGCAAAGTGTTGAAACCTTTACTCCGTATAGAGTTGATTTTCTGTATATAAAGATCATTAAAAATGAATCTTAGTGAAGAATGGGATGGGAAAGGGAGTAGGAGTTGGGACGGGAATGGGTGGAAGAACCGCTATAATCCAAAAGAGCTATATCTATGAAATTTATATTTATTAAATAAAAGCTTTCTAAAAAAAGAATGAGCTTGTGACATTGGTGTGGCAGTGAGGACTAGAAAGTTCCTTATTCCATAAGGTTTTTTTCTTTTAAATTCTTTTGAGGGAAAATGGGTTTTAAACATCACTGAAGGAGTGAGGTTGAGAAAATAATTGTGGCTAATTAACTGAATGTGGAGAGAGAAAATTCTTCCTGATGTCCAGCGTGCCTCCCCCTGCTGTCCAATGCCACGTATCCTCTGCCCCCCACTCCCTTCTGTGCATCTGGGAACTCCAGCTAACTCTCACTAATATCACCACCCATATAACATTTGAGATATGTTGGTATTAAAAAATACAAATTATGCGATGTCCAAGGAACTTGTTATACAGGTGCTGACATTGCAGAAACCCAGAATAGTGGTTCTAAAATTTGGTTGGAATAATCTTGTAGAATTCCGTAAAAATACACATTGCTAGAACTTAACTGAGACCCGAATCAGAACCTCTGGAAGTGGGACTAGGAAATCTCTTTGGAAGAGGCAGTGATCCCACGTGCAGCCAGGTTAAACAGTGTGCTGGAGGCTGAGTTGTGCTTCTACATGTGTGAGTTTAATGCTGGACTTGAAGACATCCGTTTAAAGCCTGAAATAGGCACGTGCTTTGTTAGGCAAAAGTAGAATCCTGAGTGGTGCTGCATTGACAGTGTAGTTTATAATGCGGAGATCTCTTCTGGAGCCGGGGTGATTGATACTGACTGTGCTTCACTGTTATATGAATTACCTCGAATGAAGATTTTAGTACAGGGAACAACCAACTTAGAAACAACTGAACTGTGCATCAAAGTGATCTGTGCAGCTCCTGTGATTCTTCCCCTCATTTTGAAGCCTTGCTGTTGTGATCTGTGGCGTTAGGGAAAACCTGCTAGGAATTGGCATGAATCTGTGACTTCACAAGTAAAGGAGGTAGTGGAGAAAACCAGAAATGGTTTCCTAGGCATATGCACTCTATTAACAGCAGCTTACCTGCCCCTGAATCTCTTTCCTCTCACTGCTTGCGACTTCGGACTTCATTTTTCATATGCCCTGCTGTTTCCCCCACTAGAGATAGACTTAATCCAACCCTCTTAGAAAACACAGGAGGAAGGTGAACCGCAGTGTTCACACCCTGGCAACTCAATTGCTACTGCCCTGCAGAGGGGCATCCGGCTGCCCTGAGGGAATGGCCATGGTAAATTATGCACCCTGTATCTGTACACCTCTCACCGCTTTGCTGCTCCTACCTGGGGCCAAACTGCTTTGCATCTCAACTGGAACCTCTAGCTGGCCTTGGTTGCCCTTGCTCCTGTCGTCATCTTGCCACATGGCAGCTGGAAGGTTCCTTCAAAAATAGTAGACCAACCATGGCGTGCCTCTGCTCACAATCCACTGCTGGCCCTCTGTCGCACTAAGGAGATTGAGACGTCCTTAGTGAGATGTGCTGCCTCCCAGCCAGGCCACTGATCTCTGTTTTCATTCTGCTCTGCTCTGCTCTGCTCTGCCAGCCTGCTGCTGGACTCCTTTCAGTTCCCCAAGCCTCCCACAGCCACTCCCAGTAGCTGTTAGCTGTCCCCCTTGCCTACTGCCCTGCCGCCCAGGTCTTCCTGTGGCTGGTTCTTTCTCACTTCAAGTCTCAACTCTCACGTCCTCTCCGAGTAGTCCTCCTCCTCTATCAGCACCAACTGCTGGAAGAAATTACCTTGTTTATTACCTAATTCCTTCCACGGAAGGGTAAGTGCTGGAGTGCGCCTAGCACTTGTCTTGGGATGTTCTTGAACAACTGCAAATAACTGGAAATGCAGTTTAACCTGGCTGGCATGACAGAGAGCCGGAGGTGGGGCTGAGCTGTAGACTCGTTTGCAGTTCCCGCTCTGGTGAGTCTCCCTGCACCCTCCATGTGTTGGCAACATCTGCAGGCTTTCCTCCCTCGTGATGACAAAATGCAGCCATCTGGGAGCTCTGGTCAGCATACTGCACACACTTGTCCAACTTCTGAACAAACCCCTTGGGCTGTGGACGTGAGTATGGCATTCATATACATAGAAGCATGGTGCACACATCAGTGCGAGCACAGGACAGGGCCCTCCTCTGAAGGACCTTACCGCTGCAAGTGGGAGGA